AGTCTTCTTATTGGCATTTTATTGAAACTTGGGAAATAAAAGTGCCATACACCCCCATTTTCAGCAAAAAGTCCATAAAAGGTGTTTTGTGATGGGAAGTATCTGGGAGGAGGAGAGTGATGTGGGAGATCGAGGCTATCAGGAGGGAGGGGCGGCATTCCTGGTGGGGAAAGGAGACAAGAGGCAGCACAGGCCGCAGGGGGACCGTGGGAAGCGAAAGAGGTTCAGGGTTGCCACTCCCTAGACTCTCCCAGGGTATATCCACTAGTTGCTGTAATATAGATTTAGTCCGGCAAGATTCTGTCCATAAGGTGTAAGCAAATAAAGGGACTGGACTGGACTGTTTCATCCTTGTTCTTGTCCTGACAGTTTTGAGCCACCCTTCAGAATCTGACTCTGACAACGTTGCTCCAGTGGAGTTTGTGGCTTGTCAGCCTCAGGGATCATTAAGCCAGGATTCGTTGGAGGCTGATCAGCCGCAGGCATTGCCTGTTCAGCTGGAGCGGTCAAGTGAGGAGGCACGACCCCCAAGCCCCAGGTCTAGATGCAGGCAGCGGCGAGCAGAGCAACGCTCCGCAGTGAGGATCCTCGCGAGGCGAAGAGCAAGGCATAAGTAATTGCAGCCAGCTCTCTGCAGACCAGTGTTTCTCAACCTTGGCCACTTGAAGAGGTGTGGACTTCAGCTCCCAGAATTCCCCAGCCAGCCATGCTGGCTGGGGAATTCTGGGAGTTGAAGTCCACACCTCTTCAAGTGGCCAAGGTTGAGAAACATTGCTGTAGACAGATTTAGGTCATTATCCCAGATCCTGACTTCTTGTGAACCCTTGACTCTTGGACCGGGTGACTACCTGATTTGTCATTTGGTGGCCCTTGGCACGAAGCTGGGCTACTGTTGGCCAGAAGGCTGGCTAAGTTCATTCACCCAGTAGGAGAGAACCAATATTCGCACAGAGTCAAGGGAAAGAGAATCTCTTTATTTCTGTACAGAGGCACCCAGAGGCCTGCGCCCAGCAAAAAGCGTGCGCCCCACCCAATTCAGCGGGCTACATTTTACAGCATTCTCTGCCACGTTGGATACAATCTCATTGTCAGGCATCATCTTGTCACACCGCCTAGGTGGGCTCTCTTGCAGTTGCCAGGCAGAACCATCTAACTTCCTTATTTTACATCTTATTTATTTTATTGATTGATTGAATTGGTATGCTGCCCGTCTCTCCCTCTGGGCGGGTCCCAATTACAACCAAAAACCCATGAACAATTAAAAATAATACCATATAAATAATTAAAATGAATTAATGAAAAGTCAGACTGTAAAACAAACCCTATACATAAATACTAAAAACATTCAAGATGGCGGGAGGGCAAAATCAATTACCCCACAAGCCATTTCCACTGATGCCAGCCCCCAATCTTGAGGGGTGCACTTTATTAGCTATGTGTCCCGCCTCTAGCTGTGTTTTTTACGATGCTGATGATGAACTTGGGTGCTCTTTGTGACCTACATAAGAGTCCTTGGCCTACATAGGCGAGCAAAACCACAAGAGGGGGAACTATCTTCTGCTGAACTCTTGCACTAGATAGAAAGAGCTTAACCACAGCGTCCTCTGCTTCCTGCCAAAGGAAACAAAGACAGAGACCTACAGCTGATAACAGCCCTTGACTAACAGCTTCTTAAAGCACTACGCCTAGGAATTAAGTAAAAGCCAGAACATCTGCAGAGAGGCTACTTCCAACAGCGAATTCCAACATCAGGTCCTCACTTCTCTCTTCCTGGACCGTAATCGGCGCTTCAAGCGCTCTCGGCCAGGCATTCGACTGACAATCCTGCCTGCTCTTACCTGCCTAAATTGGAGTAAGTACAGTGCATTCGGAAAGTATTCAGGCCCCCTTCACTTTTTTTCAATTTTGTTATGTTGCAGCCTGGTACTACATCATTCAAATTTGTTTTTTCCTCATTAATCTACACTCAGTATCCCATAATGACAAAGTGAAAACAGAATTTTAG